ACTTTTCAAATTTAAATTTTCTCACTTTACTTATAACTTCAATTCTTGTCAAGGAACAATGTTTAATACTCCGGAGGAGAGAACAAGTTTGCACCTGTACCTCTAAAATAACGACGGTAATTAAATTATTCTTATATTTGAATTGTAACCCTTAAAAATAAATTGTAAAATTAAATATCACTGTCGACATTTTAGTGATATTTAATTTTTAATCTGGTATCTTTATTCTGATTTTCATTCATGTAACCTGTTATAATTTTAAAACGTGTTTTCACTTAACCTCAACCATAAAAAGTTTTTTAACGTGTTAACTGTGTTGTTTAACGTGTTACGATTTTAATATTTAATGTTAATTTACTTCTAATGTCTGATGTAATATCATTTAATTGAAAATTTTGACGTAAGTTTATAATTTAATATCTTTCCTTAATGTACCATATACATATGTAACTTTATTAGTAACAATAAAGTTAAAAAAAAATTTCTATTGTAATTTTGTTTGTAGAAGCTCTCCGAAGATGGCTAGGTAACTGAAACTAGTAAGAGCAAATAAATAAAAACCACCGTAGTATACGAAAGCAGATTTTTTAGTTTACTATTACCCTTCACGGTGAATGGACATAACCAACAATAAAATAATAACAAAGTCCAAGGCAATCTTCGCAAGATCCCCCGTGAGCTTCGCGTACCATCGCTATACGACGTGGCATGGAGTCTATAAGTCGCCGTATTGTAGCGAGAGGGATGGCCAACCATGCCACCTCAACTCACCTCCATAGCTCCTCAACGTTAACCGGACGAACCGGATAACGTTGATCGTCATGTCCCAAACATGTTCGATCGTATTCAGATGCGGAAACCGAGTTAGCCATGGAAGCATTCGTATATGGTGCTCTTCCACAAAGGTCTGTACAACACGCCCGATGTGCTGTCGTACGTTGTCGTGCATGTATAGTAGACCTGGGAGCCGCCGAACGTAGGGAAGCACAACGGACCGTAGCACCTCATCTACGTATCGTTGACCCGTCATGGTCTGCTATACACGCAGCAGACGTGTACGTCCACCATATGTAATCGCACCCCATACCATAATGCTCGGTTGTCGGTGGATAGGGCGTTCTTGCACACACTGCTCGAGTAGACGATCACCACGGCTCCGACGAACTAAAATTCGCACAAGAAAAAGCCAAACCTTTCCCATTGATAAAACTGATGGAAAGGAAAATCAAAAAGGGACCAAAACATGAACAAGGAACACAGCGAAAGAGATGAAAGTAATATACGGGTAGTATACACATACCAAAAGATGAAAAAGAAATAGTGACTGACATGAAAGCGTATAAAACTAGATCAAGTCGTATTGTACAAAATAAATACCAATCATATAATATAATCATAGATTACTTTATATAATATAATCATATCTTGTGTCTTTAATAAGTGTAAGTTGTATTTAGATATAAGCATTATAACTTTCAGAAAAAAAAAGCGAGGACGTTGTAGTGTATTGTTAAGATTTCTTAATGACTACTAGATGGCGCTACAATACCATAGATGACATTTGTATTTCATACGTGTGAGATCTGGTTATAGAGAATAGCACAGAGTACAACAGAGCGGTAGGTAGATAGGCGAATTGGTAGTATAAATCTATCTTCTTTCTACTCATGTAAATTTGTATGTGTCTTTTTCGCTCTCTTATCTATTTTATCTCCTTCTATCATTGTAAATCTGTATACGTCTCTCTCGCTCTTATATCTATAAACCCAAGGTTGAGGGAGCCACGATCGAGAATAAATTTAGAATTCTGTAAACAAAATTTTTGTTAATTTGTGTTAGTGTCGATAGATGGAGGCTCTTGAAAAACACAGAAATGTGTGTTTCCCCTGGAAGCCAAATTAATTTGGACATATGATTCGTTTGTAAGTAGTTTATTTGTTTCTTTTTATTCTCAAAACAATTGTGGTGTATTGGAACAAAGGGTGTTAGAACCAAGAACTACCCGAGGTTAGGTGGTGAGAGACACTGAGACCACACCAAGGTCTCAGTCTCACGTTGGCCCCGTGTGCGTGAGGGTCTATACGGTCTATAGATAACTTTAACGTTTATTCGTTGTACATAAGTTTACGTGTTATTATTAAAGTTTAGTTAAGAGAAACCCGGTGTTTCCTTTAAACCACTCCATACACTACATTTTGGCGACGAGGATGGGATCACGTGATTCCTATTAACGTGAATTAAATAGTGTGTTCAATTAACTGACGATCTTTACAAATCCGGGAAATTCTGAGATGGCGTCATACGGGGAAATTGATGCTTTCAATACACTAGTTCCGAGCTTGTGGAATGAATATCAAGAAAGATTGAATTTTTACTTCGAAGCAAATGATATAAAAGAAGATAAACAAAAAGCGTTTTTTTTTAAGTGTGTGCGGTAGTGCGACATTCAGAATTTTGAGGTCACTTTTGGCCCCGAAAACGCTAACTGAAACGACATATAAAGACATGTTAAAGGTATTAACCGAACATTTTAATCCGCGGAAATCGGAAATAGTCGCGCGTTTCAAATTTTACCGTCGTAATCAACTCCCGGGAGATTAGCGGAAGATTGTAATTTTACGGAAGTTTCGAAAAAGGACCTCCTTGAAAGTTCGTTACGTGATCGTTTAGTGTGCGGTGTACGCGAAGATGCGTTGCAGCAAAAACTTTTAGCGGAAATAAATTTAACTTTTGAAAACGCTCAAGGAATTTGTATAGCTTCTGTTTCGTCCCGACGACGAAAATAACGTAACGAAGATAAAGTCAGGTGCGAAATCTTTCAATAAGGGACCGAGAACAATGACTGAGTCGAGAGAAACAACCCGCGAGAAACAAAATCCTAGAGGACAGGGAAAAAAGTGTTTCCGGTGCGAAGGCGAACATTCGCCCGACACGTGCAGTCATAAAAATGCGATTTGCCACTTTTGTAAAAAGGAAGGACACATTGAAAGAGCCTGCTTCGCTAAGAAAAGGGACAATAAAAAGAACAATAAAGTTCATTGTCAAGTCGATAACAAATACGCCGAAACGACTCTTTATAAACTACATAGTACTGGGATACCTACGAAATTTTGGGTCGATCTCAAAATTAACGGAAAAAACTTTCAAATGGAAGTAGATAGTGGAGCGGGACATACCGTTATTGGCTCCAACACTTTCTATCGTCTATTCAAGAATCAAACGTCACAGTTAACAACGACAAACGTAATTGCGGGATTACCAAGGCCAATTGATTCCGATGTTAGGAGAAATGAAGGTACAAGTTGTCCGAAACCGTCATCGGGCTCAACTTTCAATTTTGGTGGTGGCTGCTGACCGACCCAGCCTCCTGGGACGAAATTGGTTCAACGCCCTTGGTTTGGGACTGAGTGGGATAAACAACATCACGGAACATTTAGACGTTCAACCGGTGGTTTTAAAACCGCGTAAACTACCAATTGCGTTAAAAGACAAAGTGGATGCAGAGCTAAATCGTTTAATAAAAGAAGGTGTACTGGAACCGATTACATATCCTAAATGGGCTACCCCGATAGTAGTGGTAACTAAGGACAGTGGTGAAGTGCGAATATGCGAGGATTACAGAAGTACAATAAATCGTATATTAATCGCGAACAATTATCCGGTACCGTGCGTGCAAGACATTATAACAACATTAGCAGGTGGCGGAGTTTTTGCCAAATTAGATATGGCACAAGCATATCTACAACTCGTGGTGGATGACGTTGCTGCCGATTTACAGACGATCATTAAACATAAAAGTGCGTTCCGTTTTAAAAAACTACAATTCGGTGTGTCGCTGGCACCCCAAATATTTCAAAGATTTATAGACACCCGGTTGTGCGACATACAAGGTGTAATGCCGTATTACGATGACATTTTAATTGTTCTAATATCGGACGCGGATTTGGGCAAGAAAGTGCGTGAAGTGCTTAAACGGTTTCGGGATGACGGTCTCAGATTGAAAAAGGACAAATGTATATTTCGAACAAAGAGTTTAACTTTTCTTGGTTTTCACGTGAGTGCTGACAGTGTACGAACGACAAAGGACAAAATTAATGCTATTGTCAATGCGCCCGCGCCGCGTAACAAAACGGAACTACAAGCTTTCTTGGGGATAGTGACGTTTTACCATTCTTTTATTAATGACAGAGCGAAAATTTCAGAGCCGTTATACAAGTTATTACAAAAAGAAACAGTTTTCAAATGGGGTAAACAACAGCAAACTGCGTTTCAGATTTTTAAAAATATCCTCACGAGTGAACCTCTTCTGGCTCATTACAATGATTCAGTTCCATTAGTGTTGAGGTGCGATGCTAGTGATTATGGAGTTGGATGTGTGTTGGGACAGAAACAATTATCTGGCTTAGAAGCACCTATTGCTTACCATAGCCGTACATTATCATCGGCAGAAAGAAATTATTCGCAAATCGACAAAGAAGCCCTTACCATTATGGTTGAAGTTAAAAAATTTCATAATTACCTCTATGGTAAAAAATTCAAATTAAAAACAGATCACAAGCCGCTTTTAGGTCTGTTAAACTCAAGCAAGGCAACGCCGGAAGTGCTCTCGCCAAGAATGCTGCGATGGACTTTAATGTTGTCAGCATACGATTACAAAATTGAATACGTGTCTGGGAAAACAAATGGCAACGCCGACGCACTCAGTAGGCTACCCATTTTAGGTTACCAATCGCAACTACCAAGAGCAACAGATGTTTTAGCTATAGAAAATGCTCCAGAAAGAATTTTCGACTGCAAGTGAAGTGGTAGGAGCAACGAAGAAAGATGTAGTGTTATCCAGAGTTATACAATGAGCACGAAATGGCTGGCCAAACAACACGAGAGATTGGTCTCAAGAATTTCAACCATTCTTAAATAAAAGGGAAGAAATCACTGTATATGAGGATTGCCTGTTATGGGGGACACGAGTTATTATTCCACCTGGGGGAAGGGAAAGCATCATGCGTATTCTTCATACAGCACACCCCGGAATGGTACGCATGAAAGCGTTGGCAAGATCTTACGTATGGTGGCTCAATATCGACAAAGAAATTGAAGAATTGGTAAAGACTTGTGAGGTTTGCCAACAAAATCGAAACGCCTCAGAACGAGCACCGCTACATCCATGGGAATGGTCCAGAGCACCATGGTCTCGAATCCATGTCGATTTCGCCAGACCAGTACATGGAAAGTATTTCATCGTTATAGTAGACTCATATTCAAAATGGCTGGAAGTCCGTGCCATAAATGGGCCGTCTACAAAAGAAACGATTAAGGTATAATCAAATAAATATTAATCGCGAATTAGTAAATATTCGCCACCCACGGAATTCCCGATGTAATCGTTTCGGATAACGGAACAGCTTTTACTTCAGAGGAGTATCGTGAATGGTTAAGAAAAAATGGAATCCGTCAAGCTTTAACTGCACCGTACCATCCCAGCAGTAATGGCCAGGCTGAACGTATGCTACAATACTTCAAAAAGATCATTAAAAAAATTGGGTAATGATGACGTGGGAGCAACAATTTCAAAGTATTTGTTGAGTCAACACATCACGCCACATTCAACGACGGGAAGATCTCCTGCAGAAATTTTAATGGGAAGACGGCTGTCATGTTTATTGGACAAAGTACGACCGGATTTTACCAAACAAATGAAGGAAAAGCAAGAGAAAAGATTTGGATCTTCGCTGCCGAAAACGTTTCACACCTTCGACACTGTATATGCCAGAAATTACGTTCCAGGGGACAAGTGGCAGCCAGCAACGGTACTGGAGGCGACAGGTCCTTTAAGTTATAAATTAACAACCGACAACGGCAAAACTTTAAAACGCCATATCAATCAAATTCGACCACGTGCTGAACGCAGTACAATCGAAGTACCACATCAAACAAACGAAAAGGAATTGCCAAGGGAACCGGAACGGGAATCCACACCGTCAACGAGTGATAAGAACACAGATTCATCAGAAACGGCTGCCCGAGAGGTGCTACCATCACCACGCCCCACACGAAAACCTCCAAACTATCTGGAGGATTACACACCATAGATGTTTGTGGATCTAGGAGGGAGGAGTGTGGTGTATTGGAACAAAGGGTGTTAGAACCAAGAACTACCCGAGGTTAGGTGATGGGAGACCACACGCCAAGTTCTCAGTCTCACGTTGGCTCCGTGTGCGTGAGGGTCTATACGGTCTATACATAACTTTAACGGTTATTCGTTGTACATAAGTTTACGTGTCATTATTAAAGTTTAGTTAAGAGAAACCCAGTGTTTCCTTTAAACCACTCTGTACACTACAACAATTTTATGTGTTTTTCTTTTAGTTAACGTCAAAATGACTCTGAATTGTATAGTGTGTGGTAATACCAAGGTTGAAGTAGACAAACTGTTTTGTTTCCCCAAAAATTCCGACAGGTATTTATGATTTGTTTATTACTAAAGAAGAATATTTCCTTGCAACCTAGAATATTCATATGTTTGTTACTAATTAAAGTTATGTTTTATACCTAAAAGTATGGTACTCTTAGTTAAATCAAACAAAATAAGGAATCCTTATAAGGATTTGTAAATTACAAAGCTAAATTCTTTATAAGAATAGTTATTCCAATTTTTTTATAAGGTTTGACTTTATTAGGGGCCCTGTTATTTATTAAAAAAAAATGTCGTTTTATGTATGTATAGCATAATAATAGGGTTACCATATTCTGTCAAAAAAACAAACATTTGGTGTGTATTAACCTTAATTACGAAAATGACACAATCAACAATAATAAAGTAGCATCAAATTTACAGGTTTATTCACCTGTAAATATTGAAGGTGAAGTAGTACTAGTTAAGTCAGCTACCCCCGAGGTTACCCCACCTCGTACACAACCTTCAGCTTCAGATTTTGAACAGAACTATTCACCTCGAAATATTGATGCAGACCTACTACCAGTTAAGTCAGCTACCAATGACGCTACCCCACCTCCAACACAGTCCTCAGTAGCCTCTGCAGATGTTAAACAGAATGATCATACTCCTCGTGTAAGAAAATCATTATTTAAAAGTATCGAGAGATTATGCCGTACTGATATCTCACCAAGAAAAAGACATAATGTCTATGTTTAGGCGTAAGTAGGATTACATTAGGAAACTGAAGAAAGTCTGCAAGGCACGCATCAGGCAAAAGAATGAATTAGGGGATGTACAGACATTTATCCAAAACAAGAACATATTTAAAGGTAAAATGAAGTATTAATACATATTGCTCATTATTTGTACTTTGTAATATTCCGGTAAAATTTTTTGAATTTTAATTTAATAATTCGTGGGGTTGCTCCATTCGCTAACGCTCATTCCGCAAACTTCTTCACTCTCAAAATAAAACATCACTTTTAACATGTATATCATATACTACTAAATTATGGCATTGGCAGTTTACAAGATTGGTCCCAAATGCTATACACTACTAAGGAGATTACTAGCATTCCCTTCAATAAGAACCCTTAACACTCTACTTGAAAATGTGACTTTTAAGGTGAGCATAAATCCACATATATTTAAACATTTGGGAGAATGCCTGAAAACGTTTTCAGAAAGTGAACGACTTTGCACCCTGACTTTTGATGAAATGGCTATCAGGGAGCATGTTCAATATAAATCACATACCGACTATGCAGAGGGATTGGAGGACTTTAGCGCTGAAAGGACCAATAGATGTGCTAACTATGCCCTTGTTTTCATGGTTCAGGGCATTGTGAGAGCATGGAAGCAGCCTATTGGTTTCTATTTTAGCAGGGGAGGTGTAAATTCTGCTAGACTGCAAGGTATATTAAGGGACATTCTGTGATAGCACATACAGTGATAGCAACAGTGTGCGATATGGGAACGTCAAATGTTAAAACGTTAAAGAACATGGGGTCTACAGAAACACAGCCATATTTTGAACATGAAGGGAAAAGAATCTCAACAACATTTGATGTTCCGCATTTATTGAAATGTACTACAAATTTATTCAAAAAATACAATGTTCAAATACCTGCTTGTGATATTCTGCCGTCAGTGAATGCCCATGATTTACAGGCGAGGTGGTCTGATATTGTAGCAGTCTACGCAAGAGACAACAACTCTCCACTGATTGTTAGGGGCCTCTATAAAATTAAAGATTACTACTTTGCACCGCTGAGGCAAAATTCAATGAAAGTTAAAATTGCAGCATATTTGGATTCAGCTCTCTTATAAAATTAGTAACACACCAAATTTCATAATAATTTTGTCAGGTTCTATCTAATCCTTTATTTTGGCCAACTATTTTAGGATTAAAATCAAGCTAGATTAATATTTTTTTTTGTTTTAGGCTTTCATAGATGTTTCAAAGAAACTTAGAACGTTGGATGTTGATTTGAAACCAAGATACCTAAACCAGGATGCCCTGGAAAACCTGCAGCATATTAGGCAAAGCTATTGTCGTCCGCGCGCTGCCGAACCCGATGGTAAGTGCCCAATATGCGCTCGAGTATTTAACACCTTCGCGAGGATGAAACAGCACATGGGGCTGGTTCACCCAGGAGACTATAATCGGGACCTCGAAGAGCAGGTTCCTGCGGTGGATTTGGAGCAGGATATTCGCGGTGAGAGTATTACGGATGAAGCGGATGAGCCCACTAACATAGAGCTCGTGGAGGTCGAGCCTCTGCTGGTTTCTGCGGCCGGTGGCCGTTTACTTTCCGAGGACCTGGGTCTCTCACAGGACCCAGTGCGTACATTTTTAAAGATCTACTTCCAGTCTTGGAAGGAACCTCGGGAGTCTGATCGCCGGTTGATGAACCTGGTAGATGTGACCTCTGTTATTAACTCCGCTGACGTTATTTCCGGTGCGATTGGTGTTTGGCTCGACGAGATGGCGTCGTCTGATTCGGTTGATAAAGCCTCAAAATATCGGGGGCACCGCGGCTCGGGTCGCAAGACTTACGGCCGCGGAGCGTCGAGGGCCTACCTTTTCAAACAGGTGCTGCATATGTACCGTCCGTAATACAGGAGATATATATAAGATAGGAGGAATTTGACCACGCACATAATGGACGACGTGCCTTTCACTACCACGTCTGAAGAGTTGTCCATTGAGTCAATCGAAAAACAGTACGGTGGAATCTTTACCAGCCTATCTCCGGAAGACGATAAACCTTTCCGGGTAGTCGATGATGCAGATACCTGTAACGGTTTATACGGACCTATTACTGTGCAGGAAGTGTTAGATTGCCTCGAGAGCCTACGCGTGACTTCCCCAGGACCTTACAAATTAACGATGGCTAGGCTTAAAGCCATGCCAGTGCAACGCTTGGTTGTCCCGTACATCCTCCTTCTGTTCGGTGTCGTTCCGGATCGTTTTAAAGAGAATCGGACGATTCTTTTGCCAAAGGAAGGCGACCCCAAGATCACCATTGCCTCAACGCTCCTCCTTGTTCAAGCGCATTTAATCTAGACGCCTGGCAAAAGTTGGGCATACACACACATCAACGTGGCTTTCGGAATATGGATTTCGGTGTCTTCCTCAATTATGTGACGCTTGAGGCGATTATTAAAGCCAAGCGTAACGCCTAAAGGGTATATAACATCTTGTCCCTAGATTTGAGGAATCTAGGTCTTTTTCCATTCCATCTTTCGGGCGCTTAAGCGGTTCTAGGTGGATAAGCGTATTATTAACCTCGTGAAGGCCGTAGAGTTTCAGTTGGACCCGCCAACTGAAACTCTACGACCTATTACGAGAGGGGTGAAATACGGCGATCCCTTGTCCCCTGTCCTTTTTAACTTAGTTCTGGACGAGCTGTTATGCTTTCTGGAACGTAATCCCAAGATTTCGGCAATTTCATCAAGCCAACGGCTATAGGGTATGCCGATGACTTATGCCCAACCCAACCCAACCCCTCGTATTACGCGGGGAGTTCTTGGTTCTATCGACCACATTCTTCGGATTGCTGTGCGGCGTGTACTACATCTTAACAGGGCCACTACCGATCCCTTTGTTCACGCTCCTATTAAGGAGGGTGGTCTTGGCATAATATCGCTGAAGGCGCATGTCCCCTGCATAATATCTAGCAGGGTGACTAATATAGTTCTGTCAGCCGATGCTCTTACAATTGCGGTTTTTACTTCCCCGCACATAGCTCGGCTAACTGGAAAATTGTCGTCGTGATCCTCTTCGTTTGGTGGAAATAAGCGTCAAGTCCACATTGACTGGAGTAATAGGCTTGAGAATGGCTATTCGGGCGGTGGTCTGAAGCAGGGTTCTAGAAGCGG